CAGCACTTTGTCAATTTGTACTTTTTCAAAGTAGCTCAAATAATCAAACTAAAATTCTCCCTGGGGAAGATTTGCTATAGTTCAACTTTTTCCAGTGTGAAGCAATTGGTAGCTTGTAAACTTGTGCCTGTAAACTAGCTTCCCCATCACTGCATGTTTGCAGTGTCACGCCATTTTCTCCATTTGTAAGGCCTAAGCTCTTGATACTCATTGGTGATTTTGAACAGCCATCCATCAGACTCAAACAACATTAAATTCCAACCCCAAAGATGCAAGATAAGAGTACAAAAAAGCTACTGCCATAACAGAGAACACCCTCTGTGAGTAAAAGTACACAACATACCTTACACTTCTTAAGTAACACTTTATAACCCACAGAGCTCTTACCTGTAAGGCTCTGACATGGAAAAGATTAAAATCACACGACCTTTTGTAACTCACTGAGAAAATGAAGTAACATGAAAGTCTCATGGATAACCTCTCCCGTTATATACATTATTTTCCTTAAGATGAAAATCTCTATGCAACACAGACATTCTTCTCTGCATGTGTTTACACTGTTGCCCTCCAACCATTAACACTTGTCTACAACCAAAATGCTTAAGAAACAAAAATAATTCATCTTTGTAATTCTGGACCACTGAAAACAAAAATATCTAAAACTCTTAACTGCCAATGGCACTGGAAATGTCTTTTTTGTTTGAAAATGGCAGAACTCAGGACTTCAAGCTCTTTGCTGTATACGTCAGCCCGTATTCTCTCTTAAAGCCAAAAGGTGTCATCAATTGTCTTTTTTTTTTTTTTTGCAGTTTTTTTTTTTTTGCCCCCTGGCAAACGAGCGTAAATGGCTGTGTCCTAAAAAGTATAGCCAATCAGCTCTTATAAAGGTCATATTTGAACTCAGCACCTCAGAATCCATAAAAAATTAGCACATTTCAATTCGAAAGCAAAAAAACTTTAAAATTACAGACCTGTGTAATAATTTAAATCAGCGTAATATTAAACTGTAACTGGCCCAATACTTGGGTTATTTCAAAAACAACACACTTAAATACTGTAACCTTTTACCCTTTTTGAGTATAATGACTTCCCCTCCCATTAGCTTAGCCTCTTCAAACTCAAACCGTTTTACTAAGGTGTTTTTTGTCACTTACCACCAAACTTATTGAATCCTCCACGATCGCCCATTCTGATGAAGAGGAAGAGAAAAATGACACACATTGAAGGCTGGTGCTGACAGCGATTTCTCTTTATGGGTTGTGGGTAACCTTCACTCTCACAGTCTCTTCATTAAATCCACCTCCGTTCATTTGGCACTTGTCCTATTGAACCACTACTTAATCTTGTTGTGAATCTGTTGAATTTACCTTCAGGACAACAGGTCAGTTCGAAGAGCTTGTGTTTAGATCTCACAAGCAACAGAAATTTGTCATTTTTACTCCCAAAGTCCTATGAACTCTTTCAGTGATTTGTATGTACCCATTTTGTTTCATGATAAAACTTGGATTTTGTCAGTTACCCACCCCAAACTTTACCACCTTTAATCCCTGGATGGGTTTTAAGGTTTCAGAAAACCTTTAGTTTTTACACAAATTGCAATAAATCCCAAAACAGTTGTTCTTTGAGGTTCTTCTCATCATCACCCAAATTATATTTTTAATCGGTCTTTCCTTGAAGTACAAGAAGAATAAAGTCTGTTCATGTCCCCCATTTGTAATTTCCAAAATGATGTCTTAAGAGCAGAAAGTCAGCCTGGAAAGATGGTAAAAGCCTAAGAGAAGATTCAAAGATTTGATTAAAACAGAGCATGACACAGTGAGAGCTGGTTGGAAAGGAGGTGGTAACAGGGTGTTGGCAGGTGATGGTAATGTTTTTGTGGCATGTTAGTGTTTAGGCAAAGTCAAGGGCACAAATTACTTGCCATGGAAACACATTTTGGGGGTGGCAGCATCATGTTGTGGTGGTACAGACAAAAAGACACTTCAATTTGTTGAGGCTTACTGACCATGCTATGATATTTTTTTTAAACTGCCAAAAAATGTAATGTAGCAAATAATCTGCTATGTGGTTGCTAATGTTATGTTTTGGTTATGGGCGGGTTATGCCTTTAGTTTACACTTGAATACTTGCTCAAATTGTTTATTTTAAAAATGGCACATACAGTGGGTACGGAAAGTATTCAAACCCCATTAAATTTTTCACTCTTTGTTATATTGCAGCCATATTCTAAAATCATTTAAGTTCATTTTTTTCCCTCAATGTACACACAGCACCCCATATTGACAGAAAAACACAGAATTTTTGACATTTTTGCAGATTTATTAAAAAAGAAAAACTGAAATATCACATGGTCATAAGTATTCAGACCCTTTGCTCAGTATTTAGTAGAAGCACCCTTTTGAGCTAATACAGCCATGAGTCTTTTTGGGAATGATGCAACAAGTTTTTCACACCTGCATTTGGGGATCCTCTGCCATTCCTCCTTGCAGATCCTCTCCAGTTCTGTCAGGTTGGATGGTAAACCTTGGTGGACAGCCATTTTCAGGTCTCTCCAGAGATGCTCAATTGGGTTTAAATCAGGGCTCTGGCTGGGCCATTCAAGAACAGTCACAGAGTTGTTGTAAAGCCACTCCTTCGTTATTTTAGCTGTGTGCTTAGGGTCATTGTCTTGTTGGAAGGTGAACCTTCGGCCCAGTCTGAGGTCCTGAGCACTCTGGAGAAGGTTTTCGTCCAGGATATCCCTGTACTTGGCCGCATTCACCCTTCCCTCGATTGCAACCAGTCGTCCGGTCCCTGCAGCTGAAAAACACCCCCATAGCATGATGCTGCCACCACCATGCTGCACTGTTGGGACTGTATTGGACAGGTGATGAACAGTGCCTGGTTTTCTCCACACATACCGGACTGCATCTCTGGAGCTCAGTCACAGTCATCTTTGGGTTCTTCTGTACCTCTCTCACCAAGACTCTTGTTCCCCAATAACTCAGTTTGGCCGGACGGCCAGTTCTAGGAAGGGTTCTGGTCATCCCAAACGTCTTCCATTTAAGGATTATGGAGGTCACTGTGCTCTTAGGAACCTTAAGTGCAGCAGAAATTTTTTTGTAACCTTGGCCAGATCTATGCCTTGCCACAATTCTGTCTCTGAGCTCTTCAGGCAGTTCCTTTGACCTCATGATTCTCATTTGCTCTGACATGCACTGTGAGCTGTAGGGTCTTATATAGACAGGTGTGTGGCTTTCCTAATCACGTCCAATCAGTATAATCAAACACAGCTGGACTCAAATGAAGGTGTAGAACCATCTCAGGGATGATCAGAAAAAATGGACAGCACCTAAGTTAAATATATGAGTGTCACAGCAAAGGGTCTGAATACTTATGACCATGTGATATTTCAGTTTTTCTTTTTTAATAAATCTGCAAAAATGTCAAAAATTCTGTGTTTTTCTGTCAATATGGGGTGCTGTGTGTACATTAATGAGGGAAAAAATGAACTTAAATGATTTTAGCATATGGCTGCAATATAACAAAGAGTGAAAAATTTAAGGGGGTCTGAATACTTTCCGTACCCACTGTACACTTTAGTATACCAGGATATCATGTCTGGTATTAAACAAACAAAAACAAAAAAAAGGTGTGGTAAGACAAGCACCAGTAGCTTTCCACTCGTGTTATGTTCAAATCACTCCAAAATCAAATTAACCCTTCAATACATCAAGATAAAAATGCATCATCATTTAACAATGTTTTTGTTGAACAACACACAAGGATATCAGCTGATCAGCGCTCAGTGGTACCTGCCTATTGAAAGGACACTGAGATTAACCAATGGGGACTGAGTTCAATGTAATGTAGTGGTGGGAAGAAGAAAAGAAAAGTCCATGATGGATGAGAAAACATACAAGGAAATGGCAAACTAATTTGTCTGAGTTTATTACCAACGTTATGAGGTTACAAAAATGTACATGAAATAATGTACAAACTTTATTAGAAAAACAAAACCATCAACTTACCATACTAGTTTTGGCTTCATAGTTTCGCTTAATGATGAGCTTGCTGCAAAGTATTTGCCCCTGTTCTCTCCTGCCTAATTTTTTTTGGTTTTACATGCAACGTTTGGCCAAACCATAATCTATTTTTCTTTATTTGTACATATGTTTCTTTAAGTTTGTACAGAAATGCTGTTTGAAGAACAGCCTGTATGTTTTTACTAATTAAGATTTTGGACAAAACTTATCTAATCAGAAAGCTTCTTGACAATGTCCCAGTGTGTTGCAAACAACTCTCAGGTTCTCACAAATTCAATCTTAACCTGTGTTTAGTGCTGTAAGTTTTGTCAAATTTTGTGTTTAGTGTCCTCTCTGCAGATTTAAAAAATAAATATCTATTGCAATATTTTTGTTGTCGATACCTTTTTTTAGAGCAACGCTTAGGTCAATGACATAATTTGTGAAACAATCACAAAAATCAAAGTTTGGAATGATAAATCTTGTCCTTTTACAACTTGTTTGTACCAGCACAAGAAAGCACCCAGCTCATTTTTGTTTGGATCATCACACAGGCAGTGGAGAGCCTGCTGTAAATAAGGTTTATAGTAATGTAAAAACGGTAACAAGACCACTAACAGACAAAGATTTCGTACCATTGACTGTAATACAAGCACACTATAGAAATAACTGCAGACACACATTAACATGCACAATCACATCATATGGTCATTTGCTGCATTTCAGTTTGAATGGGATTTGCTCACTGCTGTTTTTTGTAAAGCTTCTACAGCGAGACACTGATCTGATAGTGCAGGTGTTTGCTATTATTATTTATCCTACTGATGTTTAAAACAGTAAATTACAGGCACATGCAGTAAACCTGTTTATGGCTGCATGTAACTTTTCCCTCATTCCAGCCCTACCTCCTCCTTAAGCGGCGGTTCACTTATTGCGTCTATAAACGCACAGAAAACGCTAGCTGTGGCACTTTTTCCCTTCTATCCAAAGTGCTTGGGAGCTTGCGCTACCGTGGTGTCTACCATTGCTAAGCAACCATAAGCTGCACGTTGCAGTTGGCATCTGGGCATGACAACTGATCGGACCCAGTTGTGCTCAGTCTGGGTCAGTCGTTGCCGACAGTTGGCAGGTAAATTCATGTAGTGTATGCCATGTAAAGATTCTAATCTTAAGTCTTAAGAACCAGTTAATGTCAGTCGTTCCCATTAAGATTTTTTAAACATTTAATATTTACAACTGACATCGACTATTGATGATTAATGATGTCACGTACGAAGGAGACATATTACGTAAATAAAATTGTCACGTTTCAAGAATGGTGATTAAAAAGGACTGTAGTGTCAAAGTGCACTGGACAGTTAAAGTGACTGAACTGTGGCAGGAGAATGAACACCTCTACAACTTAATTCAGACACGTACAGGACTAATACATTGCAGCTTCCTCTTTCGTTGTATGGTCCGCTTTGCTGATGGTTCTCCATCGAGGGTCTCACCCAAACTCTGCCTTTATTTTCCTCTTTTTATTATGTACAGTGCAAATTGAAGCATAAAGCATAAACAGTGCCACTATTAAAAATATAATAGTGTCTAATAGTGTGCTGCTAGCCCACTACAGCACCTGACCACACTAATAACTAGCATGGAAGTGAAACATCACGACTCCCAACTCACTGTTCTAGGAGATTTTAACAGAGGAAATTTCGTACCCACGAACTGCCCAAATAGACAGCACATCAGTTGTCCATTCACGGACAAAAATGTATTGGACCACTGCTGCAAGGTAATAAAGGACACATATCGCTCTGTCCTCCATGCAGCCCTCGGTCTCTCTGATCACCGCATAGGCCATCTCATCCCAGCCCATAGGCAGAAACTTGAAGCTGCGAAGCCTGTTGTCAAAACAGTGAAGAGATGGACTGAGCAGGCAAAGTCAGAGCTACAGGCCTGCTTTGATAGCATAGATTCGAGTGTATTTCAGGCTGTGTCTACAGACCTGGATGAAATCACTGACAATGTGACATCGCACATCAGCTTTTGTGAGGTTTGTGTGTGCCCACCAAGACCTTCTGCACATACAACAACAACAAGCCCTGGTTCACAGTAAGATTCCAGCAGCTTCCTTGTACCAAAGAGGAGGCCTACCTACAGAAGTGAGGACAGGATCCTGTACAGGCAGGCCAGGAACACACTGACAAGAGACAAAGTAGAAAAGAAAAGCTACTCTGAAAAGCTGAAACATTTTTTCAGCTTTTCAACCCCTTGTCTGTGTAGAGAAGTGTGCAAAGGTGACTGCACCTCAGAGAACCCCTCTGTTAAACTCCTGAAGTTCACACAACGGTCATCGGTCTCATCCGAGACAGTGACGAGCTGGCCTACAGCGTGAATGCTGAACAGCTGGCCTTGTGATGCAGTCGCAACAATCTGGAGTTGAATGTGCTGAAAACAGTGGAGATGACAGTGGGCTTTATGAAGAGCCCACACACCTTACCCGCCCCTCATACTCAGCAGCACTGTATCAGTAGTAGAGTACTTCAAGCAACATCAGCACCATGACCAAGAATAGCAGGGGATGTACTTCCTGTGTCAGCTCAAGAAGTTCAACCTGCCTCGGGAGCTGCTGGTACAGTCATAGAGGGGAATCATGAAGTCTGTTCTCTGCACCTCCATCACTGTCTGGTTTGGCTCAGCAACCAAACAGGACAGGAACAGACTCCTGTGGACAGTCAGGACTGCAGAAGGAATCATCTGTACCAGCCTGCCCTCCATGGAGGACCTTTACACCTCACAGGTCAAAAGAAGGGTAGAGAAGATTTCTGCAGACCCCTCACACCCTGGACACAAACTGTTTGAGCTCCTCCCCTCTGAACGGTGCTACAGGTCAACGTACACCAAAATGAACAGACACGAGGACAGTTTCTTCCCCTGGGCCATCACACTGATGAACACTTAACCCACTGTATAACAGAATGACAACCCTTGGTGTAATACCTTGTAAATAGACTTTTGTATATAAAAACTCCATCCAAACTGTGTATGTATTTCCATGAGAACTTTAGTTTTTATTTTCCTAATGCACATTGATTTTTCTTGGTTTTTGTTCTCTCAGCCTTATCTTGTTTACTCGTTGCCTTACAGCAGAGCATTGTTCAGGCACACTGAGAGCCATTCTGCCAGTCAAACTCCTTGTTTATTCAACACACCTGGCCAGTAAAGCAGATTCTGATTCTCTGTGCTTGCCATTATTCTACTAACCATCTGACTTGTCATTGAGGCACACTAGAGTCAAAATGTGATGCTTGTCAGTATTAATGAATGAAAATGAAAAACAATGACAAATTGCTGCCTTCAATACAACTACCATTTTTCGTGTGCTTTATAATTGGTACTGGTCAAATTAATTTTATTTTATATCGTGCATACAGCATGATATTTGCATTTATTTCTCTGATTGTGTTGTTGAGGAGCAGGCTGCTTGGCATGATTTGTCTCACTGGGGGGGAACCACTATGAAGCAGCGATGTCTCCAGCCAGGAGTAAACTGGGTGCGCAACAAAAGTTAGGTAAGCAAAGCACTGTGCATCTCATTTCTACACAAAATAAAGTATTTGATTCTCAGTGTTTCCTGTATATTGATTTATTTGTGGTGGACCACCACAATATCAACATCGACTGTAGCATGTTGATTTAAAATAGGTTAAATCTTATTTCACTGTAGGGCCACGCATAGCGCTCGTATTCGCTCAGGCCCTCCATGCCCCGCTTTATTCCTCAATTACGCACACACAAACACATGACAGCCCTGAGCAGGGACTGTCTATGAACAGCTCCTCTACATGTTTGTTTTCTTTAACACAACTCTGCCTATGATGGGGATTCAACTCTTATTAACAAGCTAGCAAAGCTAACTAAGCTAACATTAGCATACAGTTGTTACCGAGGTCAGGGCATGGATGTATGTGAACTGCTCTGCAAGTTCATAAACTCTGACGCTGAATGTTTGCCCCCTCAATCCATGTAAAAGCTGTTAAGTCTGACCAGTGTAATTAGCGATCCAGCTGATTCGTTTTGAATATTTATTGCTTTCAGTACGAGTATTCCTGAGACACCCTGCCAAAGCCCAGACTTAAACCCACCAAACATTTGTGGAGAGAGCTGAAGATACACTTCCCATGTTCCCATCCAATCTGATGGAGCTTGAGAGGATGTGCCAGAAAAAAAAATGGGATAAACTGCCCAAATCCAGATGTGCAAAGCTTGTAGAGACTTATCCAAAAAGAATGGAAGGTGTACCTGTTGCCAGTAGGGGCTTCTGAAAATGTAATGCCAGTTTTATCCATTTAAAATAAAATCAAGAACGAAATTAAGTGTACAAAAGGTGAATGAATTTGAATACTTTCTGAAGACACAGTACAATGTCCTTGTTTGAGCTCTGGGCACTTTATATTTTCTGATGAAACACAACTTTAATTGGGCAATAATTGAAATTATTGTTAATCAACTTTCACTAGTATCATATCATGATGGTATGGTTAGGTTATTGCTTTATAAAATGCTACTGTGATTAAAAATTCCCAAGCTGAGTTACTGAATGTTCTGTTTCTCACAGTTTTTCTTGATGCATTGCACAACAGTGGAGCACAATTCACTTCATGAATGTATTAAAAAAATGATCTTTTTACCACAGTATTTTATATCATATCACTATACTGTGTGATAATACCACAAAGGCATTTCTATTAATATGTGATATTGATTTTTACTGTATTGCACACTGTCAGCATCCAGGCAATGATGGGTTTATGTCAGCACTACGGGTGTGCACACTGATACCATATTGCCAAAACTAAGCTGTTTTGAATTTTGAGTGTTGAAAGTAGAGCTAAAAGAAACAAAAATTCAGTCACACACTGAGCATGTTCTGTGTACATGAACTGTCGTCTTAGTACAAATCACTACTCAGTATCCCTAGTGCATTCTCTGTTTCCCTGTTGCTTTTGCGTGCATGTGCACAGCAGTCACTGTGTTAGATCAGAGAATTCATACATTTAACATATTTGTTAAAAAGTGTATTGCATTTTAAAATATATGCGATTAAGTACCTAACAGTAAGAAAGTACTTTAAGTGTCTGATGCTTTCAGAACCACTCAGTTTTCCTGTTGATGTGTTTCCTTTAGAAACCATGATACATGGGTTCTCCCTTTGTCCAAGTACAGTAGTACTGCAACTGATATTAGTGATTGTTGCCCTGATATTATTTTGTAATAAATCAGAACCAATCCAGCACAGAACATAGACTGCCTGTGTGCCATTTAACTCAGGGAGATACTGCAAAACACTGATAAACTTTTAATATGTACAGGAAAGGTGGATGGCTCTGTAAAGATTTGTAGCATATTCTCTACGGACAGAAAACTTTAGAATCACTCTGGCAATTTAAAAATCCTTGGGATTAGTTTTCCTCAAAACCACGTGGGAGGGAGAATGTTGATAAATCAGCACACACCTCTCAGCTGCATTAACATATAGACACAAACTTAGAACAATGCACCCTCTAACATTTTATTTTATTCTTACAATTAGTCTTATCTATACAGTTCCACCAACTTTAAGCAACGTGAGGAACAGATAACAAGGCCACTCGATGAATTTTAAACACTTACCCCATGCCTCCTCGTCCTCTCAGTCCACCTCTGCCTCCTCGATCAAAACCACGATCATATCCACCGCCTCCACGACTTCCGAATCCACCCCCTCGGCCCCTGCCACCACGAACATCCTGACCACCATAAGCTCCATCAGGACCACCGTACCCCAACCCTCCACCTCCACTCATGGGTGGGCTTTCATCTCCATATCCTGCTAAAAAGTTGAGACAAATAGTCTCAAACTGTGGAACTACTTCTCTACTAAAGAAATAGCATGAATGAAAGCTGTTAGGGTTATGGCAGGGGTAATTATCCTGAGCTATAAAATTTGCACAAATGTTATGTACAGCTTTGTCAATTGTTGACTTATATCAGCTTCTTTTCATTTGGAAAAATGAACCCATTCCTCACCTCCACTTTGACTGTACTGGCTTTGTTGACTATAGCTCTGTGGAGGGGGGGAGTTATAGCTTGCAGGCTGGTTGTAGTGACCTCCTCCATGCTGGGATGGTTGTTGGTGGCACCCACTGCCCCCGTAGCCACCAGTCTGACCTCCACTGCTCCCATAACCACCTCCACTCTGTCCACCACTGGGTGGCTGGTTGTAGCCAGGGGCCTGCGAGTTACCTTCATAACTGGTGATGGTGGGGAAAAGAGCAGCATTTCAAAAACTGAAAAACATTTGAGAAAACAATTACTCCACATCTGGTGTCTTGATAGGCTCTTACTTTGCAGAGGATGGAGGAGGCTGCTGCTGGCTGTAACCAGAGAAGGATGACTGCTGGTTGTAGGTCATGTTGGATGGCTGGTTGCTGCTGCTACTGCTGCTGCTATAGCCTCCAGAGCTATAAGACTGATTGGAATGACTATAACCACCCCCACCACTCTGGTTAGAGGGCGGAGAACCATATCCTCCTGGGAGAACAGAAAAGCCAGGGCATACATTTGAATAAAATTGTATTATTATTAGGGTTGCAGCAGTATACCAGTTTTATGCTATACCATGATATGAAAATTGATGGTTATCATAGCATACACATTTGCTTATTACCAGTATTGAAGAAAAAATGCCACATGTGCACACCTTTCTTAAACAACTGCCTGTCAGACTCTGCAATGGGTGCCACACACACATGCAGCAAACAAACAGCAGAGAAGGAGGCTGATATCACCAAATTCTATCCATCAAAAAAATTGAAAGCAGCAGCATACGATTACTTCGAATATACAAAAACAACCACCTTCAAGAACACCATCCCTCCGCTCAAATTAAGTGTCCCGTTTCTTAACCTCTGACTTATAAAAGGGCTTACACTGGTCTCGATCTGACCCCTGAAACAGACACACTGGCTCAAATAAATGAGTGCGTCCCTGTGTGTGTAAGTGAAGGTACAGGCAGGACCAGTCTGGCTGCACTGTCAAACACCTACAATAAACTTGACAATGAATGTCACTTTTGGCTTTTTCCCGTTTCGGAGTCGCCACAGCAAATCGACTTGCATGTTGACATTTGGCACGTGTTTCACACCGGATGCCCTTCCTGGCGCAACCTGGATTCAAACCCGGGGCGCCGTGGCAAGAGCGCTGTGCCTTAGCCACTAGCCTACAAGCTTCCTAAGGGAAGGCCACCTACAATAAACTTGACAACTATTCTGATAATCGCTGAGAACACTGTAACGACATTTCTTACTACTGTCTTAAGTTTTACAAGCCAGTCAATTGATTAATGCTTTAGCTGTATGCTCTTTTTTAAATCATGTTCATAACTCTGTTTATTCTTCAGGATCAATCTAGTGGAGCAATCCAGCTCAATCAACTGTCAGTCACTTGCAATTAAAAAGAAACACACACTTCTCATTCTTTTGAGGGTTGTTGTAGATGATAATAATAGTTACTGTAATGCCGTATAGCATAATAAGGTGAAACTGTGATATTTACTGAGACTGTTATCATAATGTGAAACTCTCATACCATTGAAACCCTAAATATATTTATTATTATTTAATTAACATAAAAATGCATGGCTAAAAAACTGTATGGGTTTTAAAGGTTACTGAATCTGCATCTACCTGAATGGGGTTGACCATAGCTGCCATATCCCCCCTGGCTGTAGGAGCCAGAACTGCTATCAGAGCTTTGGTTGTACCCTCCATAGCCCTGCTGGCTGTAGCTCTGGCCAGAGGACTGACCATAGCCCTGATTAGCACCGCCGCCGCCACCACCACCACCATATGATCCATAGCTGCAAGGATTTAAAAACAAGGTTCATACACCAAATATACAAACTTCAAGCTGTTAATATCAGAATCAGAATCAGCTTTATTGGCCAGGTGTGTTGGACACATGAGGAATTTGACTCTGGTACAGCGGCTCTCAATATGTATGTACATCCTTATGTACGGCAATAACAAAGGGCAAGTAAACAATATAGGCTGAGAGAAAAGGAGCAAGGACACACATATACATACACACACACACACACAGTCTAGATGCATTCAACAGGTCTGTATGTACAATGTATATTTACAGGTACAGCACTATATAATGCAATACAATTCAACAGCAGCACAAACTACATCCTCCATAATAATCATATGATTGAATCAAAACCTCTCTAAAACAGTTTGAAGAAAATCTAAACATTATAACCTTTGTAGACTGCATTAGTTTTAGCTTGGTGTATCTACGTATATGTTTTGCTTCTTGGTGGTTTTATAAGAACGAAGGGAGCTCCCGATTCACTGCATTGTATATAGAGTATGATTATGTTTCAAAACTAAGCTGATGTAGAGTTGCTACACAAAAGGCTGAGAAATTCTGATTTATGACTAGATGAATACTGCATTACTTACCCCTGAGCAGACGACTGGGAATAATCTATGGAAAAAATGAAATGGAGTGTTAATATTATAAGTAGAATGTTATTATGTTTAACACCATACATCAAATAGAGCTAGTTCCAAAGCTGTCAGACATTATTTGGATGGTATAGTAACGATCAACAAACTATAAAGAGATTTAAAGTTTGATATTTTCATTTGATATTTTAAAACTTCCAAGTAACAGATTTTCCTGAGGCAGCTTGCTTGAGTTGTGTAACGTTAATGTTGCAGGTCTGTGTTGTGATATAGCTGAAGTGTTAATATGTGTACGACACGTTTTTTTTTTTCAAAAATTGTGACCAGCATTTTTTCACAACCTTTTCTTCACGTCGTGGGTAAAGCAATAGATTAATAGATGAAAATGCCAGGAAAGAAAATTATCTATATTTGCAGTGCTATAATAATGTGATTCTGACAAAATATAATGTACTGGATGTTCGTCAAGATGGATTACACAAGTCTGCAAGCCGATTTTTAAATGATACTGAAATAAATAAAAGCCAAAATAGCAACACTGTTTATTATATAGCTAACGTTAACTGTGATGTATGTGGTTATTAGTAAACAGGTCAATACGCGCAAAATCACTGTCGCGGCAAACTGGTCCTTGTCAATTTTCATATCAGAAAAGATAAAAGACGTACCTAAAATCTAACAAAGACCATTGCTTATTATCTACACCAGCCGTCTGAGTACTGAGAGGCGGGGTCGCCAGCAGAAACTGGGTCAGTAGCACAAGCGCCCTAGCTAGCTAATAACAGCTAGCAGAATGCAGAGCACTAAAGATATCTAGCTATATAACATTATCCAGACACTGAAGAAATGTTAACCTGGCCGTATTTCTTACCATTAGACGCCATTTCGACGAGGAAAAGATTTTCACCTTCAACCAAATCAATCAGCGTGTTAGTGTTAACGTACTGACTAATTCACATAGACTGGAAATAATGCACCAAAACCAGTCCGGTGTGCATAATCCTCCGCAGCTGTTCTTCTTCCTCTTTATTTTTAATAGCGGAATACAAACCAACTTTAAAGATGTATGCTGCCACCTATTGCACCGGAGTATATAACGTCGTCCTCTGTAGTTCCTCCACTGAGTCCTGAAGTACAATATGTTTAATCAGCTGTTCATAGGATAAATATATATTTTTTTTTTTTAAAGAAAACGCATTTGTTAAACTGAAACATAGTGCTTCAATACAAGATGCTTCAGAAGTGGGACTGTTCAGGATATGAAGATAACTACATCCTGGACAGGTTGCCAGTCCATCGCAGGGACATACTGGGACTCCAATCTTTTCAAAATAAAAAGGAGGCTGCAGTGATTTCACTGTTCCCCCACTGTGGATGTGAACACAATCAAACAGCTTAAAGTCAGTGCTTTAATCTCATTCAGTTTCATTTTAAACCAAATAAGATAAACTACAGAGCCAAACAACTAAAATGTGTCCCTGCCAAAAATGCTAGACTGTATTTTGCACTAGGCTATGTCTGTTGCCCTGTTTGGTTAGTTATCTTCAACTTAGAAGACAGAGCTGACAATACTGTTTTTGGGGTGTTCTTTTAGGTTTATGTGCCCTCACATTTACTTCAGCCCATGCAACCATAGGAGAAAAGACTACTGAAACATATTTCTGATTTAACAAACTGTGAGGTAGTGCAATCCAGTCGAGAAGCGCCCTTTTTGTTGTGATGGAATCTTGGTTTATGTTAAATAAGAGGCAATCAAATCAGAAACAACAGAACACTCTATAAATACAGTATAGGAGTTAGACATTGTCATCTTATATGTAGTGCTGTAGGTAAACCAGCTGCAGTTAATAAAGGCTAAATTTTTTTTATACATCTCAGATTAGGCGAGGCTTCCTGTTAGTGTTGCCATTTGATTCAGCATGAGTTAGACTGATGACTAACCCTCACTAAAACAGGATGAATTAACACAACATAAGAAGCAATGCATGGAGATAGCCTTGGAATTAATGCCCTGCGACTTCAGGCACAGCTCCTCTGCGTTCACACCACTGAGTACATATCAGTGACAAAACAACAGTTTTTCCAGTGTACACCGCGTCCTTCTTTACTGCATCGAGAAACACACAGGTATTCAGTGACAAAGTCTGTTTGGTCCGAGTGGAGTTTTACAATACATAGGAAAGTCCAAGTTGAGGGTTCTGAAATATGATTGCTCATGTAGCTTTGTAACAATAATATTGTCATGCACTGGTCCCATAACAACCTTATCTACTTCTATAACAAACTGTGACTATCTAAAAGCAACATTTGCTATGAGTTGAGTTATACATTCCTTTATACCAAAGACTTAGGGGAGACCAGAACTTTTTAAATTTTGTTATACATCCTGGAATCCATACATCACAGTGTTTTAAATGGCATACCAAATGAAAAAAGAAAGCCTTAGCTATATATTTTGTAGTCATTCAATTTTCATATCTTCAGAACAGTTATAGGCAGTTCGATAGTGTGCATGTGTGAGTTTACCCTGTTAGTGGATAAGTTGTAATGCAAGTTATGCAAGACATGCAACTACAACAGAAATTAGAGACATTTAAAGCTCAGAAAAAAGGAGAGCAGTCATAAAAGCCATTATACTGCTTTAATTGATGGGCACGACTGGGGTTAAGTCTGCGGATACACATACAAAGTAGGCAATCACATGAAAATGATAAAAATACTCAAATATCTTTTTTTTTAAGCATTCAATACATAGAGAAACTCAATCAAGTCCAACAACTTTGATATTTCAGAAAGATCACACTTATAGTTTTATTAATTACACACACAGGTTTAGCTCAAACTTAAATGTGCTTCATTTAACATGTTAACAGTAGAGTTATTGACATTCTCTGTAGTCATCACCATCAGTGACACGACTCGCATTACTCACAGGAATTTGATCCACTGATATTACAAAATGTGATTTGAATATTGCCACCTCAGGAGTGGTGGCCAGGCTAAAGACAGATTACCAAGAAATTTACCGAGTACATATCTGCAGTTTTAAATTTTCATGACCTTTCCTCTAGACCACTCAGGCAAAAATCTTCACTTTTAGGCTTGCAACAATCAAGGCCATAAAGTGTTTCAGCTGTTTAATAAGAGTGGTAGTCTTAAAAAAAAAAGGCTGGTAAACATTCATTTAAAGCAAACTTTATTCACTTTCATAAAGATCTTCAATAAAGACAAATGTTGAAATGAGGTCAATGGTGACAATCAGACTAGACATCAAGAGACTGAGAAGGAAGGAATACAGATAAACAAGGACAGAGAAATTGAAGAGTGACAGGACAGTGAGAGACAGGCCTATTTACACAGAAACACCCTACATCAGTAACACTGCAGGGTTTTAATGTAAGCGCTAACAGACTAGAGTCCAACTAGCAGCAGTAGGCTTGATTCTGGGAACAGTCTGGCTCTTGACATGCTCTGCTTTAAATCCAGTTTTGTTTTCAGCACTATTCTTAAATACAACTGAAACAGAAAAAACATTTTCACAAAAACAAAAAAACAAAACAAAAAAAACCACTACTATTGTGAGGAATTCATAAGTTGTTAAAATGATGCAGTAATGTTACAAAAACTGTTCAGTAGTCACTTTGTCTAAGTAGCAAGAATGGCTTAAAAGTATCACTGACATCTTAAAATGAAACATTTAGAAACTGAAGGAAAATTTTAAATGTGAACATGGCTGGGAAGCATGCGTGGGTGTGCTGCTCAACATCTAAGTACTGTGTATGTATGTGCAACAGTATCAGATAACCTTATTTTGGTGGGTACGCTGATGGCAAATCTAAGAAGAAAAAAAGCTCATGTGGGTGATGAAATTAAAATAAAGAGTTGGAGGATGAGTGGGAGGGAGAATTTAAACCAACCAATGTGTGACAATAATAAGCGTGGCCTTGCTCTGTGGCAGAGACAAAGGAGAATTTCATTCTGCTCTCCTCTATTTTCTTCAAACAACTTCCATTTTGTGTTGTGGTTCATCTTTCAGACATTCCCCTCTTCATCCACACTTTCATCTACTCGTTCTTCTTCTCCTTGTGTTTGATCAGTTTGTTGATCTCCCTTTTGGCCATGCCAGCGTACTTGGTGATGACGCCATGCTGGTTCAGGCCAGGCAGCAGCAGCAGGAAGCTCACTGTGACAGACAAAAACAAAAATAAACATTTTGCCAAATATGAAAGAGTCAACAGCTTAGAAGCACCACTAGATTTTAATCATATGGTCTAACTATGTGTTCAAGGGTTTTGGAAGTGCAGTGTATTAAAATTATATTTTAAAAAGGAGAATTTGGCTTGAAGATGTATGAAAAGCAGCTTACTCATCATGAGGCAGTCTACTACTTAAATTTTAGGACGCAATACTTTTGGTTGACAAATAATACAGACTCGACAGTCAAGACATCTGAAACTTTGTTGCTTCCATTCAATCCCCCCCCATTTAAAAAAACTCTTGTGAGTCAACTTTTTGTAAATGCAACACAAAATTGCTGGAATACCTCTAAGCAAATCAAGACAGTATCTACAGTAGGCTGAGTTTGCAGGCAAATAGGACTTGTAGATTGCCCAATCTCATTTTCTGTAAGACATTCATCTTACAATATAAATGCACTAGCTTCTGTCTTGCATTCTGACAAATATGACTGTCTGTGTAGTTATTTTTTGCTTGGAAAAGGACAAACAATAAGGACATTCAGACTTTAGATGATATTAAAATGTTTACCATATGCTTTTGATCTGTATTCAATGCTGAATTCTGATATTTAACAACTGCAGAAGAGCTATGAACTGTGGTGACTTAACTGATGCTGACCAAAAAAAAAATAAATAAATAAAAATACCACAGGAAGCTGAATACATGATAAAAATGATGTTCGAGGAGTTTACATGAGAACTCTCTGCTGCTAGGCAACTGACAAAAAACAAGCAAACAAAGAAACAAGATGCCACACAAAAAGCATAACTCCCCATTTCCTCATCAAAAGTCCTTAACACCATGCTGAACAAGAACAGTGCACATGACTGGGGAAAATGAAAAACTGTCAGAAAGCAGTAACAGGTTGCCAAGACATCCAGTCTGTTAGAAAATGTTTGTCATAAATTATGCGTGACTGCAACAGTACTGGAAAGCAACTCAGTGACACAAAATATAACCAAACCAGACTTCATGAAGTAGTCTCTGTGCCTTTTGTGTCTAAGAGTGAACAGCTGGCACAAATGAGAAAATAAATTAATACACATAAAGAGAAAGACTGAAGGATGGTCATGGCTGTAACATTGGGAATGTAGCGTCCTTCTCCAATACTAGACAATAGGGTACAGTGACTGAATGTTGAAATGTACTCACCAATCAGGTAGGTGAGGAACAGGTTGTGCACCTGCTGTCCAATCCAGGCCACCATCAGCAAGCTGCCGATCGCTGAGGCAAGGTACTGTGGAGAGCAGGGAGGTCACATTACATTCAGCCTACAACAGATCAGCTACACATGCAAAACACAAGTATGATATACTGACGTGCATGTAATCACTCCTGAGATATAATCCAACATTGCTTGCACATTTTTAAAAGAACAGAACATATGCTGTCATTTTGAAGAAACCAACACAGTGGCAGTTGGACAATTAAATGTGATCTGACGGTGGGTGTAACAAAGCTGTGAAACACGTGGTTAACACAGTCTATAACCCAGTTTAAGGTCTGCTATGTGAAGAAGCAAAGCCAAGTCAGTTGAGGACATTTTTAACTGGAGCACAGAGAGTTCACCATTGCAATAAATGGATAAGAAGGTTCCATTAACCGCAGTCAGTGCCACACTGCAGACAACTCTCACAGCTGATGTCTACAGTACAGTACATGATGGTCAGCTAACTCAGTTTGGGTTAGGGTTGGGATTAAATGCAACATGTACCATTTTGGGCCTCTCCTCCTTGAGGGTACCGAAACGTTTCCACCAGCCCACGGCCCGATGCTGGGTCTTCACCAGGTTACCGCAAATCTCATGGAAATGCTGCTGCTGCTCAGTTGTCCTGCACACGAGGAGAGGTCCAGGACCAAGGACAGATTAAAAAACACAAAACTAACTGCAAGACCCTGGCAAAGAGCTTTTGTTCAGTCAAAGCACAGGCCAAGAGGATGTTTGGACAAATTTATACCAATACCACTTCTCAATCTTGTCATCAAGAGGAAGCCAGTACATTTGACAAGTTCAGTGTGGTTTGTCAAATTAAGACAGCTATCCTCACTAGTCAATAGCTTTTTTTAATATCAGAGGGGGAAAGAAACCACCTTTTCAACAACTTCAAGGCTGCCACACTGTAGAGCTGGTGTTGATGCATCAACTTAATTCCCCAATGTGTCCAAATAAAAAAAAAAAAAAATCTCAGGTTTCAGATTGTTCACCATCTTCATATGAATTTAAATTATTAGTGTGACAAGTGACAGAAAATGAACTGACAACTATTTTGATAATCCCTTTTTCATTTAAGTCATTTCTGTGAACAAACATGCCAAAATTCACTGGTTCTGACTGCTCAGATGTGAATATGATGGTTTTACTTATCCTCTTATAAGAAACTCATTATTTTTGCAGTGTTGAACAGTTGGGTCAACAAAACAGGATTTTTGAGACCTCACTTTTAGCTTTGGGCCATGCTTAATTGGCCAAAAAAAAAAAGTCCTATAAAGTTATCGTGTTATAAGAATAAGGGATAAGCACTAACAGGGTGAGAGAAGGGATGGAGGAGGGGCAGCTGGGAAAAGTGGCCTTCATTTTCTGCTTAGCAATCGTTCCCTATTTCAGGCCTTGTTGTCAGGGAGCCAAACAGGGGCAGTGACAGGACACTGAAAGCTCCAATTTACCAGCTCACACAGATAGCCCAGCTATTTGTCAGACTCTGTCACAGTCTTTGTAAAGCAGCAGCCTGAGCTACACAGTATAATCTCAAAAAAAAAAAAAAATCTCGATGAGACCGCAGATCCATAGTCATATAGTCCTGGCCCACATCTATACCCAGCACATAAAGGTGCAGGTCAGGCTTTGCTGATAGAGAGTTATATATTTCAGTTGAAGTCATCTGCAGAGGGGCAGACAGCCAACATGCTGCCAACTACAGGCCATCACTCCGTCCTGTCCTGGGTGTCTGGTTCTCACACAGTCAAGTCAAGCGGCTGTTGTGTAATCACGGTGTAATGTCAAAGTTGCATGCAAAAAAAAAAAAAGAAGAAGTCTGCAATGGAGAGGACTACATTTCAAGGTGATAATGAAATGTTCTTTCAGTCAAGAGTGAGTGGCCCAAAAACTGAGCAATCTCTTAAAAGAAAATACAAGTAAAATCAGGTATTGAGAAAGGCGAAGACCTTGTGCCGGTGCTCCTAAAATGTTCAGTAAGGAGCACCGTCCTTTCAGTAGAAAAGGTTAGTATGGAGCCCTGCTCTAAATGATGATTTTATTCCAATCTGGTACCAGTGCAACTGCCTTTAGGTCCTGCTACCAACAACAAAGCAAAGAAAAAAAGCCTTGCATTACAGCTATAGCTTCATTTACAGAACATGTAGTCTGATCTGAACTATACAACTTTCTTTACATGCTCTCTTTAAAAGCATATTCTTGTAGATTTTCATTCAGCTTTACATGTCATGTAGAAGTTGCGTTAAAATGGAAAACCAAAATATTATGTACCATTTCCTATCAATGAACTAAGTAGGTAAGTTTTCTGATCACACCATATGAAGAAAACCAAATTCCTTTAGCCTTCAAGAATACATGTCTGTACATTTCAATTCATTATTTCTTAGGCTAGCCTAGCAAAATCTGGCAGAATATTGTAAGCTCAGATTTTGTTCTGGAAAAACCCATTGAGATTTTATTGGATGCAGCTGCTGATTTATTTTTTTGAAGGGGCTAACTTTGTTTGGCAATTTAGGAGAAATTTAATACCATTTCAAGAACAGGTACCATAATATTCCTCTTTTGTCCTATCAGGTTTAGGAAGGGTTCATGTTAACATCAGCGTGAGACAGAAACTTCCATTTCAAATTCCACAACTAGCAGAAACCCTTACAAAAATACCTCAACATCAAAAAAAACAAAAAAACAAAAACAAACAAACAAAAAAAAAAAAACAACAACCCAGGAACATATTTTTTATATGTGAATTTCATCCTCAGGCTCTCACCACTTATTGGAGCCAAATACTCTGGGTGCGAGGGTGGGCACCAGGTAGTGAGCCAGGCAGACCAACATGACAGTGCATGAGAGCCCAGTCAGCACTGATGGGTCCAAGTAGTAAATCAGCCTTGAGAAGAAGACAAAGCAGTTAGTTACAGTTGTAAACCAGTTTCATTTCAAGTGTTCACAAGCATTTTTTTTATCTTCACTGTATGACCAACGACCTGTCCAGGGTGTAACCCGCCTCTCGCCCTAGTCTGGATTTTGTACATAAAATGTTACTCAAAATTGACTCTGACAAACAAAAGAACACTACAACTTAAGATCATTTAACAAAACCTAATCTGGTACCATCTACCTTGTTTCCTTCTTCAGGCTTTGTGTTTCAACAATGTGGGAGAGCTTACTAATAGGTCTGCACAATAAATCATTTTGCGAGCACGATTTAGATCTCCGTCTCACGTGACAATGATTCTGCCATGTTTACATTGTGAGATCCCTTGCATCAAAACATATACTCCCTTGGGGGCAACTGTGGTTCAGTGAATAGAGCAGTCATTCCCCAACTGGAGGGTTGGTGGTTGGAATCATAGTCCCTGCAGTCCACATGTTGAAGTGTCCTTGGGCAAGACACTGAAACCCCAAGTTGCCACTGATGGTTAGAGCCATCGGTGTGCGTTGGCACCGCAGATGGCTTCCTCGGTTCTGTACCGGAATCAAATTCCTTGTGTGCAACATACTTGGCCAAATAAAGGTGATTATCCTTTTCCTTGCTAAGCTGCATTAATCAATAACAGCAACTAATAAGCAAAAAGTGATTTATTTCTGCCTTATGGTGCTAGGTGCAAGGGCAGGCAGAGCAACATTTGAAAAATAGTTGCAGGAGGGTACAGAACATCTTTCATAATGTCAAACATGTTGGATATTTACAATTTTTTTTAATAAGTCTTCTCTTCCTGTCTACAGCTCATCACATGAGGAAACACATTCCTACAACATTTGAAAAATAGTTGCAGGAGGGTACAGAACATCTTTCATAATGTCAAACATGTTGGATATTTACAATTTTTTTTAATAAGTCTTCTCTTCCTGTCTACAGCTCATCACATGAGGAAACACATTCCTACTATTGGTTAACACAGCTTAGCGAGGAAAAGGGAGCACTTGGTTTGATGCAAGGGATCTTCCTGCTAATGCAGTCATCGCAGAATCGAGACTAATATCTCACAGGGATCACAAAACAATTTACCATGCAGCACCACTTAACATTTGAATTCTTGTTTTAATACAAATTCATCCACCTGTGAATTCTATCTTAAACCAATGTAGAACAGAGTACTTCTTGCCTTTCTCTCAGAGATCAAATGTGTCATTGTTGAAAGGGAGGAAATCTGTGCTATACCAACTATGCGCCCAGCGTGTGTAAACCCAGTGACCCAGCACACAGTAAAATGGACTCACAGGAAGAGGACAGTGGTGGCACCAATCAGGGCTCCAGGGAACCAAAGCTTTTCCCAGCGCAGGACACGATCTCCAACTAGAATCACTTCACCCCATCCCTGCAAATACTCCTCCAGCTGGGCCGTTTCCTGAGCCTGAATACAAATTAATATACATTATACAACTACACACACATTCCTAAATCACTTTGCTCTTGAACTTAAAACAAAACATCTATATCAGTACAATTTGGGAGTGAAAAACAGCAGTTTCTTTTCAAAAGTCAATGGCAGGAGCTTCTCCTGGGACATGCAACTTGGGAGTAAATGTGAAATATGCCTGAAAAATCTAAATGACATTATAACTGGAATGTGTATTCTATTCAACTTAAATCCCTTCAAAAATGGAACTATTAAATTTGCATCTTGCAAACATATCTGTAACCTAATTCAATGCATACTTAACAAATGTCTTGCATTGTACAAGAGCAACGTGCACATTAAATTTACTTCCGTTCTCAGCTTTGAAAATGTTATGTGTAATTTCGCCCTATGCGGGATTTTTTCGACCATCTGTGTTTGTAATCATATAATCTAAATTATA